CAAGCACGGGTATATACTTCGAGTATCCACAAGCATTCGATGTGTTATTTATAGTTTGTTATGACACCAGGAGCAGTAAAACGCATCGGGCACGTGCATTGCATTACCAGGGACGAATGCGATGCACGCACTATGCACTTTCTATGCAGGCCTCTTCGGGTAGGACGCTGCTGCACGCGTAAGCGCCATAGGAGTTTCTGCTCCTCTGCCGCATACGCTAAATCCGTACGCGGTAACGCGTTTCCGGCTCGGGCCGTTGCGCGCATGCGCACGTGCATTCGTTTCCTGAGCCCTTTGCTCTTGTTCAGCCACCTTGTTTCCTCCGTGACTATTTTAACATTCATTTTAAGCTGGACGATTCCAGCATTTTATTTTATACTCACCCCTCTCTCTCTCTCTCTCGCTCCTGTTTCCTTGGCTCTCTCTCTCTTCCTCTTTCCTTCCTTTCGTTCCAACCCAGGCAAACATCCTCTACCCGTTACCTCCACGCATTGCTAATTGCATATTATACAGGTCGGCTCGAAAACAACAAGCGGAAGTACACTACGTGGCGTACAGTGTGCAATCGTTAAATGGTATGAAAAAAAAAAAATAAAAATAAAAATAAACACTTTTTTTTAATATCAGTTTTTTTTAGGAAACCGCAGGTATCGTTATTCCTTGCAGGAAACGATCGAATTCAGGTACGCCTCTCGTTCTCGAATATCAACTTCCGCTCGAGATTCGTGCCCACTTCCGTTCCCGATTGGATATCGCAGGAAGCGCCGAAAAAGTTCGTGGAAGCTCGTGATATAAAAAAAAAAATATTTCAAATATTTGTAAGATACAAAAAAGTTCTTCCTTTCGTCTCCGTCAGGATGCATTTCGTCGAGTTTAACCAGCATGGTAATTCACTGATAAGAGATGAAGAAAATCTTCACGGTTAATGTTGGAGCGAGGTTTGCTACCAAAAAAAAATTATTTATCGTGCGCGATAAGTGATTAGAATTTGATAAAATGACAAATGACAGGGGAAAATAATAATAATGATATAAGCATTGTGTCTCGTGCAGCGCACGTGGTTGTACGTCTGTATACATAGTGTAAACTTTGCACCTATCGATATACCTATATATAGTGTATATATAGTCCAGAGGACGAAGATTTAATACTGGTTCGTTCATTCAATTCAGCAGCTGATAGAGGCAATACCGGAACATGGAGAAACCGGTTCGAGAATCGTTGTGGGAACAAAGCAGGTTATTTCAACATTGTGACGTCAGGCAGCCATTGCCAACCACGAAAAATAATATTATCCCCACGATGCGTGGGGATGGTCAGTGATAGTCTCCATGACTGCCCTTAAAAGAAAAGATGATTCCGGGCTATCCGCAAATTACGTACCGGGTTACCCAGGACGTTCGGACTTTGTTCCTCGTAAAACGTATGGTAGACGAGTGAATGAAGTCAAAATGAGTCGGGGATGCTGGAGTGTTAAAAATAAAAAAAAATTACTCCACTACTTTATTACAGACTTTCATTTTTTTGGAAAATTTTGTAGTGCAAAATTACACAGAAAAAATTACTCGACCAATCAGGCACCAGTACCGTGAACGCGTTTGAGAACCACTGAGTCGGATGATTCACAGTGGAAAAAGAGAAAATCACGGGAGAGAACGAAGAGAGGAGAGATAAAGATAAAGAGAAGGTTACAAGAGAGCAAGAAAGTGTAAACAAGAGAAGTTGAAAGAGACGATGTGAATTTTGTCTTGGTTCGTAGTTATCAATTTTTTTTTTTGAATTACAAAAAATAGATATATGCACTATAGCGCGCTTGGCTGTATGAAGTTTTGAGATTTTATCATAAATGGCCACGTGGTGACGTCCTTGCGTAACGCGGTCCAGGGTGGGATGCAATTTTTCATAGGGGATCGAGGGTAGTCCAGAAACGTGGAGAAGGGACGGGAGTAGATTCTCAAAGAAAAGTTCTTTCAGAAAAATATACTTTTCATCCACGCGCAAGGATTTTCTGCAAGGATTTCACGCACGTGTTCCGGAGTCCTTTGTACTGATTTTTATCGGTGAGGATCCAGCATCCTTACTTAACGGTTTCCATTCATCTCGCGCACGGTAAGAGAACCAAGTGGATCAGTTGAGCTGGTTCAATGTGAAATGAGAGCCACTGCACGTACACCGGGTATAAGGCAATGGACCCAACGAGCACAAAGCAAGTTTAAAGACGAGGGGATTCGTCAGCTGTTTGCCTGAGGCATTCAGTTTTTTTTTTTTTTTTTTTTCAAAATACGTGCGGTCACAAAAAATTCAATACTCGGAGCATTGAGCACCACTGACGTCAGGTAAACTCAGGTATAGATATATACAGCGTAAGGGGGCTTCGAGATTTAAAAGACGACCTCGATGGTTCGTCAGCTGTTTCACGAATCTCCGTACTTCGAAGAAGAGTATGAAAAAGAAAAAGAGAGACAGAACGTCAGTCAGGTCGAACAGCTGTTCTAAAAGAGACCTTTCTTAATTTCTATACCTCGAAATAGACCCAGTCGTGTAAAAATAGAGATTGGATTCTCAATTTTGAAATTTTGAGAATTTTCCAACAAAAAATTTTTTCTTAAATAATAGTACTAGTTCATTTCTTTTTGAGCGAATTTCCCCGTTTTATTAATATTATCGATACAGGGTTCATTTCACTTATGGCTGTTTATAGACACGTGAACTGTTATACGTATAAAAAGTCAAAATACTGAAATTTTACAAAAGTATCCTACATAACCCCCAAGCGACGTTTTTTTTTTCAGCCTGACAATAATAACACGAGACTCTCCCGCAAAGTGAAGCGATAAAACCACAATGCCGTCAAGAAGCGGCGAACCGAGAGATCTTCGCGTTGGTCCAGCCAGACTCCCGTGACGAAAAAACCGTTGGCCAAGAGATAAGAGATGGCGAAGAAAATCTGTGTACAATTAGTATCCGTTCGCCATTTTGTTTCTCCCTTCTCATATTCACTGACGCTATAACCCCCCCCCCTCTCCCACTCTTTCCCATGCATAAAGTATGCTCGAAATTACTTTTAAGAGAAATATAAAAAAAAAAAAATTTTTAGCTACGGCCCTGCGACCGAATTGAAGGTTCATTGTACCGATCGCGCTTCCTGTGCGGTAAAATTTTCAGTGAACTCGGGGGTCGCCCTTTTACTAGAGGTGGATCGCGTTTGAGTTCTTTACGAGAAATTCGAAAAAAAGAAATTATACAGTACGACGTAGTAATGATAATAGGATTTCAAAGAAAATCAAATTACCTCGATTATTCAAGCATTTATTTATTCCCCCCTTCCTCCGACCCCCTACTGCACCCACCACCCTTGACTAATGATCCCAGCCGTTCCTCCCCTCCTCCCCCTCGTTCACCAACAATCCGAATGATTTATCCCACCGTTCGTAACTATTCTAAACGTTCTCCAAAAAAAATTCTTTGATCTCGAATAATGACCACTCGCAATGATTTCGATAACCGGCTGGAATCATTTTTTAAAAATAGGATTTCACATTTCCGGCGTATAATCGCTCCTGACGATTGACACTGTACACGAAGACGATTGCCTTGTGGTTCAATCGATACGATCTTTCCCGTGGTTGCGTCACTGTCCTTTAATCTGATTTATTCGCACACGCATTTACGAGGTTAAGTTTGAAAGTGATAAGAAAAATAAATACAGCGCCTGTCATATCTTCACGAATTTTTACTATTTCTTCTCGAAACCCACCAGCCAATTTTTTCTCCTCACTTTTTGACTAAACTTCGGATTGGCATCGCGTATGAGTCACTCGACGGTGACTGATACTTTCGTGACTCGTATCCGCAATTTGGAATTCGCGAATACCTCGCGGACAGTATTCCCCGTGCAACACGACAAAATACAACCAAAAAAATCCAAGTAAAGAGAAACTCGACGTGAGCCTCTAATTGTCGAAAAATAATATAATTCCAAAAATTAAAGAAAAAACAGCAAATGTTCGAAAGCCCCGCGGGCGATAGTATCCACGGGTAAGAACAGCCCGTGGGAGGCCAAGAGGGGTGGGCCGGTCGGGAGGGTTGGAGATCGGTCTAGATACGAAGACAAAAGCCGAAGACAAAAGACGAGAGAGAGAGAGAGAGAGAGAGAGAGAGAGAGAGAGAGAGAGAGAGAGAGAGAGAGAGGAGAGAGAGAGGAGAAAAAGAAATAAAAGGAAAAGAAGAAAAAAAGACACAAGCACACAGGAGGAGAGCTTCCCTACTTTGCGGAAGCGTCGAGGCACAATGGCCGAGGATGGGGTGAACCGAAAAAAAAAGATGGAAAAGAGAGTCAAAAAAAAATGGTTAAGAGGCAGAGAAACAACCGAGGAAGAGAAAGACAGAGAGAAAAAGAGTCGAGGGAAGATCTGGAGGATGAAAAAAAAGAAAAAGAAAAAAAAAAGAAATCCAACCGACGTTTCCGCTGCCGGAAAAGCACGAGCGATACGTATATACCCTGACAGACTCCCACTCGTGATATAAATCATCCCCTAAACGAAAGTCGGTCAGAGCAGACAGAAAAAGCACGATACGATGAGCTTTCGAGGCGTTTCGCAGGCTCGTCCCAAAATTTCCTCTTTTTTTTTGGCGAAACTCATTTTCGTTTCTAGTTCGCCTAAAGCTCCGCGCGCATTGTTTGCCGAGTGACCACCCCATCGCCACCCCTTCACGAGTACCGGTAAAAATACGAGAACTGGTAAAAAATTTTTTTTTTTCAAAATTAGACCACCCCTCCTAGTATCAGTACCGCTTATCACTGTTCTACTTGCGAAACGAAAAGATACGAGGTTGCGTGACGGTCCTCGTTCAATAATTTAAGGGTTGAACTGAAATTTGAAAATTTTTCTTAAACTTGCATCTCTTACGAAAAATCTCCATTTTCCCGATAATCTTTCGCCGATCGTCCTAATAAATAATAATAATATATATTATAGGTCAGGCGTGGCTGTGCTCACCCAATCCCATTTTTCGCTTGAGCTTCTTGAGCACTTTCATCTTGCTGCGCAGAGGTGCCAATATCGTCGTGTCAGCCGGAGGCTCGCCGACGGGCTTCTGATGATGATTCTGATGATTGTGATGATGATGGTGATGATGATGATGATGACTGGGTGGTGGCACACTGGTACCGGCGATGGCAGCGTGACTGCAGCAGTGACAGGGGTGGCTTTTGCTGCCGGCACCTCTGACAGCGCACTCTCCGGACACCCCCATAAATGTAACGTTAAAGTCCCCTTGCGTTTACGTCAATTGTACCAGGCAAATAATCCCTTTAAGACGCGAGTACTGGCACAGCGACGAAATAATAATTTTTTAATTTTATTTTTTCTTAACCTTATCCGTTAATATCTCAACGATAAGTTTTTCACCGTATTTCTCAGTCACAGTGTATATATACGTATACAATATATATATACGTATGTCTATAAATGTATCACACACACTCGACGAAAGGTAGACTAGAAGACGTTCTTATCTTTTTTTCCCCCTTTTTCTTCGATTAATAGTAAACAGTCTCAAGAAAGAAAAGGGAGGGGGGGGATCGATTCGGATAGAGATAGCGGAGATTTGGGACGGGGGTATGTATAATAATAATAAATATCGTAAAATTGCCGCGAATACGAATCGTAAGGGTAGGAGGGATGATTTTTGAGTTTTGGAGTAAACTAGACTATAAACGCACACAACGATATATTCTTGATTCCCTGACGACCCTAAACCGGCGGACGAGTCCGCGTGTCCTGGGGGTGGGAAGGGACCGGGGGGGATGAAAACTCCCTAGTATATCCGAACGAGATCCTCACTCTAGGAGCTCTCGTGGCCGACTGACGATTCTCGAGCTGGAGCGTCAGGGTATCGCCGTTCGGCGCGCGAGCCACTGGCCAATCAGGCACGAGCTTACCCCACTTCGATTAAACAGAAATTGGTTGGGGTGGGGATTGGGCACCTGGTGGACAGCTGCCCTTACCTGGGCGCACCGGGCTTCGACGTTCAGTATTTGCCTGGCTATGTCGGGGCTATACTGTGGGCACAGGGGAGTAGATGTAGTTTTATGATATACAATACTCTGGTATAGTATCTTATTGTATTATAATCTAGACTCTGATGGTAATGTAGGTACTCTACTGTAGGTCTGTCGTACGTCAATGATGCACGATAGCGGAACGTATGACAATTGAGTGAAAGACTAATTTCCTGATCGACACGGGTAATATTGAAAATATATATATTTTTTTTTTTCGTAAATAACGTGACTTTACGTAGAAACGAGATTTTTTACATTTACGGATATACTAAATTGAAATTTTGATTACCATTGTCAATTCACGTACAAATTGTATTGAGATTGCGCGAGGTTCGATCAACGTTTAATTTCTACCTTACCGACCGATATTTACTATGCACCCTTGGACGTTTAATCAAGGATTCTATTTCTACCAAAGTAATTTCTTAGATTTTTAATTTACACTGTAATCTTATATACTTACGTATTAATTTTGTAAGATAATATATATATATATATATTTATTTTATTTATTGTAGAAAAGTTATTTGATTAAGTACCCCCTATTTTTTTTTGTCTTAAAGATATACTTGAATTAATTTACTACCAGCATGCTTTCCATCTAAGAATGTACCGTCTTCTTTTTATATGGTTCCTACTGTCGTTCCATGGGGTCCATCATGCAGATCGGCAGAAGATCGTGTTTCCATGGGATACGGGATCGCTCTGTTGTCCCATGGGGCATCTCTGAATGCCACAAGGATCACGTGGAAAAGCCACGAGTGACGAGCCACGTGGTTATTATCATTTATCAAAATCTTCATTCAACCACAAAAGTCGGTGTGCGGGCACCTTTATAGGTTTATCTATATTAATTTGATTTCCTAACCTAACAAATATAGTTTGTCACTCTTGTCTTTATGAGAAATGCGGGTTATGGTTGCACGTAGCAAAGTACTTTACAAACCACCCCTATCAGCTGGTGGTTTTTTTTGAAATTTTTTATTCACCATAATAAACTTAAAAAATGGAAAAGAATCAATTTCCAGCGAAATCGTTGGATTCTCTGAAGAAAAAAAAAAAAAAAAAGTACAGCTCCCACCCTCCCAACCCCCGAAGGAATATTCTCACTGCAGAGGGATGAAATGAAATTAGCAGAACCTCGCGGCAATGATTGCAATTTCGTTGGGATTGAGGATGAAAATTGAATTTCTATTCTCCGGCAAGAAACGAGGGGGTGGAAATCTATTGGCGTTTTTATCAAAAATTTTATCAACCCGATTCTTTTTTTTTTCTATTGAAAAAATAATACCGTATCACGTGGGATCTACCTGTACGCATTATATCGAAACGTCAAAAAATCACGTGTTGCCTAACCCGTTTTTATTTCAATTATTCAAACCCTCCGACACCCCAATTCGAATGAATACAGGTTCGACTCAACGAGGTAAAACTCGATGCTCCCGGTGCACTCGATGCTCTATATGCTTAACGATATTCGTTCCGCATCACGCACCCTGGTTTTAGACTTGTTGATTCGCAGATGCCTGACAGGTAGAGAGAGAAAAAAAATAGCAGAGGTAAAAACAAAAATGTAGGATCTATTGAAAATTCAAAATTTTCATACTCCAAAAATAAGGAGTTACAGAAAAAAATTTTATTGTCCATAAAAATTTTTCGTTTTTCAAAAATCCACTTTGTTTCTATACGACAGACTTATTTAATTCGTCAATATTTAATGATCGAACCGTCGATCAGTTGGCACACAGTGTACATATATCGGGTACTCAATAAATTGCAATGAATAACTTAACGCTGTCTGCTGTATTATTTTATTGACAAAATAAAAAAAAAATAAGAAAGGCGGAATCGTCAGACTCGGTGACCAAGGAAGGAAGAGACCGAAGGCTCGGCTTGTCACGCCGAGCGATTTTCACGCACTGTTCACGCACCCGGTCTCTCTCTCTCTCTCTCTCTCTCTCTCTCTCTCTCTCTCTCTCTCTCTCACTCAATTGACTAAACCATTGAATCCGTCTCACTCGCTCTCTCGCAAGTTCAGAATAGGAAGCAGGTTAAGATCTTCGCATTCAGACTATGGGAAATATGCCCACGGCACCGTAGCTGCGGTTTCCTTTCGCTTTAACACTCTACATCCTCTACTTGAAAGATTCTATACTAAACTACTATTACCGACAACACGAATTGCCACAATTACGGAATCAGTGAAAAAAAAAATAATCAAATTTAAAAAAAATTATTTTCAATAAAATTTACTTATTCTCAAAAATCCACTCCGAAAAGAAACGTCAGAGCTGGGGTTCACTTATTTTCGTTATTTTATGCAACTTTGTCTAACGCAATTTTCATGTGTTCGTTAAAGCGCAAAGTGCACGCCGACAACTCCAAGACGTCTGCGCATTGTTCCTAGGGATTTTTGCTTGTTAATTGTACATTGACCGCGTATCCAGTGAATTCGTAGGTGCACGTAAAGTGCGAAGTGGGAACGATTTTTCCGTAAGATGCGTGCGGTTGAAATATGAATGAAATGTTGGAATGGCGAGAACGAGGGCATGAATGAATAAGAGCCATAAACCTGTGTATATATGTGTGTGTATATATAAATATATATTACGAAATGAACGAAAGGAATATATAAAAATATAAGATATGAAGAAAAAAAAATGAATTAAATAAAAAAAAATTATTTCAATAAAAATCCATTATAAAATATAAAATTTTATAGTCCTCCGATGATATACGTATACCGTGACTTCCGGTTGGCCCTTTAATTCCATATCGAGGATACGTTAATTATAGCAGCATTTAATTATTTAATCGACTTCGAGGAAACGGATACGCGGCTGGCTAATTCGCAGCCCGTAAACAGTAAAATCACGTGGACCGTAATAAAAATTACAGTCGACCCATTCGGCGGCTACGAGACGGCAGCGTGAAATGAATGTTGGCGGGAAAATTTGAAAATATTGAAAATTCATTTACTTTCAGATTTCACGTACAGCTTTTAAGAGGCTGCGGATGCATATGGTATAGTATATGTACATATAGTAGAAAACAAGCCAAGGGAGAATATACGGATAGGACTTAGTGAAGGCAGAGAGAACACAGGAGGGACTTGGGTCGGGGTACATAACCTAAAAGGAAGAGGAGGACTGCAAGTATAGGAATAGGAGGGTGTATAGGTGGGGGGATGCCGGCATCCGATGGGGTGGCCGGGGCGCGTGTGCATGTAATATAATGTGAAATAGCGGAAGTAAGGCGGATGGCAGGAAGTCGGAGAGACTGGCGCGTGCGCGTGTCTTTTCTTCTCGTCTATGGAAGCCAGAGGGGTTAGAGTCTAGAGTATACCGGGTGGGGATGAACGGGATACCGAACGAAGGGAAGTAAAACCTCACGTTGGGGTTGCTACCGCATCCCTCTACGAGAGCCGAAGGTGGGCTAAGGAATGGAGGGTGAAAAAAGGAAACGTAAACATTTTCACCAAGGGTATTTTGGACGTGCACCGTCGCGGGTCCTGTTACAGGATTTTTCAAAACAGTTGCCCACCCGAAGATACGTGAGAGGGGAGTAAATGAAAATTTTGAAAAAAAAAATATATTACGTAAAACCGAGTTTAGGGATATACTTGTTATATCGAAATTTTCACGAGAATTGAAATGGGGGTGCATTTTTTTTCTTATGATTTTTATGTTTTTTTTTTTAATTTTGCTTCTAACCTCACTTTTTGTACAATGATAAAATTTGATATTTTCACCTCTCAGCGGTTGAGAGACACTGGCTGCCTGGCACCCTTCGCGATTCAACTTTACTCCCCACCCATGTTTCCTCACATCTGACAGAGGCATTGCCCGAAAATTCGATTTTTTTTCTTTTTCTCTTATTTATTCTTGCGTCTTTCTTAACCCACCCCCACCTTCGGATAGACGATGGAAATTTTAAAAAAATCAATTAAAATTTTACCAATATCATCTCTCGAGAAAATTTAATTACACCCCCCCCCCC